TGACATGAGACAAAGTATATGTGAACTGCTATATAGAAAGTGAATTTGCTCTGTAAATCTTCACCCAAATCACAATAAATAAAAAAATTTAAAAAAAAGAAAGAAAAAAAATTAATTAATTTTTAGAATGTCCCAGTCATCTAATTTATCTTCTGCAGTTTGTGCATTTTTACTTATGTTTGGTAGTCTTTTATGCCATAAATGAATGTCCCGAAATTGTCCCCATATTATCTTTAGTGAACTTTATAGTTGTAGGTTTTACTTTTAGATCTTTGACCCATATAGAGTTAGTTTTTGTGTATGGTGTAAGGTATGGATCTTGTTTCATTTTTCTGCAAATGGACATCCAGTTATGCCAGGACCATTTTTAAAAAAGACTCTTCCCCTTTTAAAATGTTTTGGTTCTTCGTCAAAGATTAGCTGTCCACAGGTGGATCTATCCAGTTTTGGGTTCTTGATTCTATTCTACAGTTCTATATGTCTGTCGTACCAATACCAGGCTGTTTTGACTATCATGGCTATATTGTAGGTTTTGAGATATGGGAGTGTGAGGCCTCCTACTTTGCTCTTCTTTAGTAGTACTTTGCTTATCCAAAGTCTCTTTCTTTCCCACATAAAATTAGTGATTGGTTTCCATGTCTTTAAAGAATGCTGATTGAATCTAGATCAGGATTGCATTGAATTTATAGATTGCTTTAGGGAGTATTGGCATTTTCACAATGTTCAGTCTTCCTATCCATAAGTATGATATGTTCTTCTATTTATGTAGGTCTCTTATAGTTTCTTTTAGTGTGTTTTACAGTTTTCTTTGTTAGATCTTTTGTGTCCCTGGTAATATTTATTCCTAAGAATTTTATGTTTTTGGTAGGTGTTGTAAGTGGTATTGCTTTCCTTATTCCCTTTCCAGAGTTCTCTTTGTTGATGTGGTGGAAACCAACTGATTTATGTATGTTGATCTGGTATCCTGCCACTTTGCTGAATCTTTCTATCAGTGTCAGTAATTTTCTTGCTAAGTCTCTGGGATTTTCTATGTATAAGATCATATCATATGCAAATAGGCATAGTTTTACTTGTTTCTTACCAGGATGCCTTTGATTTCCCATTCTTGCCTTATAGCTGTAGCTAGAACTTCCAATACAATGTTGAATAGAAGTGGTGATAGAGGGCATCCTTTTCTGGTTCCCATTCACAAGGGAATGCTTTCAGTCTCTCTCCATTGAGAATAATGTTGGCTGCTGATCTTGCATATATGCCCTCTAT